CTTATAAATATTATTTCTTGTTACCAGAAGAACAAAGGAAATCACTACCTGTGCTCTTGATTCTTCAACTAATCATCCCAAGGTCCTGAAGTCTCTTTCAATTGCCCTCAGACTTCTCTTTGTTATTTTATTGCTGATGGCTTGAACAACCAATAACAGATTGGTTGCAAACCTTGAGAAAACTAACAAACTGCCAGGCTGATGGATTTATCACAGGCCTACAGCCAGGTTGTGTGTGAAGGACTGAGCAAAGATTCTCACACTAAGTGTGTAAGTACTGTCTCAACTCTGCAATAAACAGATTCATTTTGCTGTCAGCTTCTGAGTCTCACATTCATATACCAACAGGGTTACATAACAGAACATCAGTTAACTCAGTCTGTGTTTTACCTGAAATCCATCACTTGCACACAATGGTGATGTTCTCCATCACAGAAGCTTTAAGGCTGAGAAAGACCATGAAGTCCAGCCACTAACCAAGCACTGCCATGTAGACCACTAAACCAGGGCCATGTACCACATCTATATGTTTTTTGACTACTTCCCAGGATGGTGATTCCAGCATTTTCCTGGGCCTGTTCCAGTACCTGACTGTCTTCTCAGTAAAGACATTTTTCCTACTATCTAATGTAAATATTCTCTGGCACAACTTAAGGCCATATTCTCTCATCTGGTGACTTGTTACTGGTAAAAAATCAATCCTCACCTCATTACAGCCTCCTTTCAGGTAGCTGTAGAGAGTAATAAAGTCTGCTCTTAGGCTCCGTTTCTTCAGACTAAATAACCCCAGCTCCCTCAGCTGCTACTCATAAGACTTGTGCTTCAGGTCCTTCACCAGCTTCATTGCCATTCTTTGGTCATGTTCTAGAACTTCAATGACTTTCTTGTAGTAAGGATTCAAGGTGCGGCCTCAAATCATCAGGCAAAGTTATTACACTTGCAGATTTCAAGGTGTTACAGCTTTTTAAGACTAAATTAGTGGCCATTAGGAGGATTAGTTCATATCTATGTGCCCATTGTGTCCATAAAGCTTGGGTTGTCTACATTACTTGGGTCTCAACATTACTTCCAGCTTACCTGGGATATGGACTATCACAGAATGATTCAGGAAAAGGAGGCAGCTCTTCTCCAATACTGTTGCTCTTTCTGTCACTGATTTGGTATAGGCTGGTGATCCCACTGCAACTGGATCTAGTTGAACTGAGTGATATATACAACTGGTTTATGGTGAGGTCCATTGGCTATATCTCATGTTCATGTATTTAAAGATTAAAGGGGTTTGATTTAATCAGGGAGTCTGAGAGCTGAAGCAGATGCCAAAAGCTCCAAAACCCCTTTGATTACTTTAAAAGCTCTCACTGAGCCCCATGCAATAAAATCTAACTCTTCATTGTTGGTTTTCTCAGAGACTTCATCAATTCTCCTAATACAGGAATTCACAGCCAACAAAATCCCACAGCTCCAAGAAAGTCTCATACCTGCTTTTTCACAGTCAGACATGGGAGTTTAATTATGGCCTGTATTCTTTCTGGGTCTGTGTGAGGAGCCAATTTAGTTTTGATTTAGTCACTTTAGTTTGTCTCAACCCTGGTTGTCGTGGTTGTCAGAAACGTGGGGGTAGGGAGTGTACACATGCAGCTTTGCAGGAGGCAACCAGGAGTGGGGGAAGCCTCATCTCTAGGGGGACTTCGCCTGGCAACACCTCAGATGAGGCAGTCAGTAGGTGACATCGTCGAGGGGCTTCTCCAATCAGTTCATGAAAGGTGTCCACCAGTGGATGGCAAAGAAAGGTTGGACTGGGACAATGGTCATCTGTCCGCGGGCAGACTTTGAGAGGGACTAGGGGGTATAATTGCGTTATACCAGACTAGCTGCTACTCGCTGGGGTTCACTGCTGTTTATCGGTTTGCCCGCTCCCTCCTTTGCCCTGGCCCCAGCCTGCCTTTGCCTCTCCTGCCCTCGCTGGCTCTTGCTCGCCCTGGCACCTGTGCTGCCTCCCGGTATCCCTGCCCGTGTCCCTGCCCGTGTCCCTGCGTTCAGCCCTGCCCCGATGCAGCCCTGCCCCGGCTCCTGGCCGTGTCCCTGTCCAGGGTCCTGGAGCTCGCAGCTCCCTCTCGCAGCGAGCCCGGAGCCGTCGGGGCGGGAGCCGCGCCCGTGGAGCCTCCGGGAGCCGCGGGCTCGGTCAGAGCCGGCCCGGGCACTGCGGGCAGCGAGCGCCGCCCCCAGCCGGGACACCGACCGCACTAAGCCACCCTCTCTCCCCTCTCCCCCACTCCTTTTCCATTTCCCTTCCTTCTTTCAAGTCTTTTCCAGGCCTCTTTTGTTTGGGCAAGTCCTTTTTCCTTTTGTTTTTTGTGACCAATAAACAGATACAATGTTTGCCTTGTTTGAATTAATTTCGGCCTTGACCATCTATTTTTAAAAGAACTCCTCGCAGTTCCTCCCAGTGGAACGCTACAGTCTGTCATTCACCGTCCCTTTACAAAAAAAAGATAAAATATTGTAACTTTATTTTGAGACAGCTGAAGTTTAGATAGAGGTGCAGGCTATCCCTTCTTTTCTAGGGCGATATATAGAGTATACATCTAGTGCATCTGGTATACAAACATTCTCATCTCTATTTTCTAATAAGAAGTCATCTGCATGTTGTCCAACAACAAATAATGTTATACCTTAATTGCAGTGCAGCAAGTGCCAAAATTCTCTGCAGATTCCCTAGCTTTACCTCTTGAAAACCACATCAAAAATTTAAAGCATTTTCTTATCTAAATTTTCTCCTTTTTAAAAATTATTTGCATATTATCCTCCCCCCTAGAAGAAAACAAACGAGAACAAAAAAAAAAAAAAATGCTTCACAAGTTAATATAAATAACACTATTTTGAAAAGCGGAAATGCTTCCTGCTGCTGCTGTGACCATGCTACTAAACTGGGTCACAGGTGATGCCCTCCATTTAGGAATAAAACCAATAAAATCTCCTTGAGAGCAACTACAACAGATAGTCTTCAAATATTATTTGCATGTTTATTATTCTCTTAGCTAATATAAATGTACATGTAGAAAAATGTGCTTTTAAAAATATCTTCAAAAAGTATATATAAGATATTATTATAAACAAGTACTAGTTCACAGAAAATCTCATACAAAAAATATGTTGTTTCAGCTGATGTGCACCTTCTGAAAAACCCAGTCTTCACATGGCTTTTTAAGTTTACATCTCAACAATAAATTCACAGACAATTATATATATAAATCTGAATTCACATAAAAAGTTAAGACAAAAATACCACACATTTTGAAGATGAGTGTGCCTCTCCAAGCAGGTCTCCCTGAATCCTTCCTTTGAAGAGTCTCCATGTGCACAGAGTAGCAACAGATCAAAGTGAGGAACTAGCTAGTGTTTTGTGGGCTCACCAGAAATGTTTCATCTGCATACCAATTGCTTATTTTTTAGTTGTGAAAGAAGAAAATCCTTTAAGAAGTCCACAAAAATGTCAAATAGACCCTTAGGCTAGACTCTTGAAGGAATCATTGTAGATTGAAACACTGTCTACAGCTCACAATATTGAAAAGTTTCACACATAACCTTGTAAAAGGCTTATGAGTTTTTACTGGCACAAATAATTCCTAAAAGTGGTTGGGCTGTTTTCTTGATGGTGTTTGGTTTCGTCAGTTTTTCTTAAGTATAAACAACTCAGCCTTTTCTCTCTGAACCAAGTTCAGCCAAATCCACAAAACATTTTTTGTGTTTGCAAGGAAACCTTCCTGTCTACCATCCGGGATTCACTCCAGCAGTCACACTCTCACCACCTGAGATTTTCACTTCTGCGACTGAAGCCCCTTCACAGCAGCCAGCTCCGATAAGCCAACAGCTGCCCTGCTTGACTCCCTACACACAGCACTCTCATACAGTCAGACAAGACCCCCCTTACCTGCTTGGACACGGGTTTCCCATAGCAGTGTCAGATATCTGGATCCTTAAAATAATTTGATCTGGTACAGACAAAAAACCAGCTTGAGCTGGGTGCTGAGGAGGAGGGATTCTGAACCAAGCAATCCCTGGGCTTTTATACCTTTACAGCCCATGTGCTCAATTGTCTGGGGTCTTTCTGCTGAGCCATAGGCTGCCCAGCAAGCTACCGGCACTAGATGTAGTCCTCAACAACTTTAATTTTAAATCCTTGTGAATAAGATTAAAGGTTTGCAAAAATGTTTCCCCCTCATTTTATTGTACCCTGTGTAAGATGGGTACATTACCTTACAGCTGAGCTGGAGGCTCAGAATGCCATCCTGTGACTGTTCAAAATACTGCACTGAAGATGTAAAGTATTTTAATGTTTTGAGCTGCACTGCCCATGATGATGACAAATGCTCGCCTCCTTTTAGTAATGAAGAGACTTTTTTCTGACTAAGTGATCACAAATCACCATGAAACTGCACATATTATGATTGGGATGCCCTATCCTTATCCTCATTTCCACATATTCTATCCTATCCTATCCTTCTAGTAATTCATATGGTCACAGTCATGGTCAGTTGGTGTTACATTACCAAATATTCCCTTTCTTTTTATTCAAATTCGGGTCAAATCTCAAGCCATAGTTTTAGTTTTTAATCTTTTTGAGTGAAGCAAAGTGATAAAGGAGATACCACTAAGGTTTAATAACATTTTTCATGTATTATTTCTAAGAGTTGACACAAAGCTCTTTGTAAGCACCATAGTGAACTTCGGTGTCTTTGAGACATTTATAACTTTTATGCTTGAAATTATAGTAAGGCCAAAATGCCCTCCATTCATTTAAATTTGCCTCAACTCTGTTCAGTAAGACTGAAGTTCTGTAGGTGACTTTTCCAATCAAATATTATGGTTCCTCAGTTTACTACTGTAAATGACACATAATATAGGGCAGACACAATATGAGATTAAAAGAATTATTAATTTTTTTTAATTTTTACAGCCAGTATAGAAATCAATCAGTGAAAAGGAAAAAGGCTACTTACGGGCAAATTGTAAAAGCGGTCGTGGATGTTTGTCACCTGTCTCATTTGCAACTGAAAGAAGAAAATACAGTGTAAAAAATGCATTAAACTCTATTGTTACAGTAAGATTAATGATAATACGAATTTTTATGCATACACAGATGGCTAGGTTTAAGAAAATTTAAAGAGGTAAACACTCTAAAATTACTCCCTTTAGTTTCAATCAATCTGTTTCCACCATTAAGAAATTAACATGAGTAGATATAAGTGGAAAAATAAGTTTAATAACAAGTAAAACAGCAACAGGCAAAAAATGACATTAAATAACAACTAGATACAAAATCGTTAAATTCAGGGGGAAGAACACCCCTATAGGCACCGACGTGGATACATCCAGCCCCAGGGACCAGCTCAAGCTTTGCACTGCTCATAGATTTTGCAAAGTTCACTCTGGAACAGTTTTTGATTGTGAAATGCAGTTTTTCCAGGTGGCTACTGTCACCAGCCCAAAGCTACCCGTTCCAAAGCAGAGCCTTCAGGAAACGCTGCCAGGAGAGAGAGATGGCTCCCTGCATCCCACCTCAAACTTGGAAAGGGACTGCAGCAACACCCCCACAGCCATCCTGGTTCCATTGTCTGGCTGCAGGCTCCCAAAGAGACAGTAACAATTTTTGGGCACAGATAGATATGGAACACAGCCACATTTTGGGTTACTCACAAGAATAGGAGAAAAGACTCTTCACAGTAACATCAGTTGAATGAATGAGTATGGTAAGAAAAAAGCAAGATTATTGCACCTATATAAATTAAATGTTCCAGTAATTTTGGAAGCCCAGAGGTTGCTTTAATAGCAAATCAAATGAAATTCCTGTGCAAAGGAATCTTCCAGCCTTTGGAACTGCACATAGGTATCACCTAGAATAAACACAATTCTGTACAAATCCTTCCTTTTTTTCTGCCTCAGATTCATATTGGCATAGCTTAACATTGCTGGGACCCTGCTTGTACACAGTTAGTCGAGAGCATAAACAACTCAGTGAAATTCTCCCAATATTAAAATAAGGTTGAAAAAGAGAGGAGTTTTCAAGGAGAGTAGTTACTATTCATGACTTTTTTTTTTGTAGCTAAAATAATCATGAGGAACAACATTGACAGGCACATTGGGAAGAGAGCATAAGGGCACATAGAAACTTTGAAAATTCTTTGATTCCTTTGAAAATGCTGTTTTCTAGACCAACCAAGCTAAGAAAATCCATAAAAGGATGCAAAAGATCAGAACTGTGACTCACAGGTTCCTAGTAAGATAATGTCAAGTAAACTGTAATGGACCTTTTGAAGTCAGAAAATATTTGATAAAATTTAATTCTTCTGTCAAGGCTCAAAGCAGTCAGTTTAAATTTGACATTATTTAAGACCCATATCACTGTAATTGCAGCTTTCTTACTTGCTCTTCAATCTCTACCTGCTGATTAAGATGGCTCTAGCATTCACTTTAGTGAACAGAGGGACTTAACAAATCACTGGCTCATTTTGCTCCCATTAGCCAGCAGATGGTAGCCTTAAGACACTGCATGCCTATCAGCCTAGGAAACTCTCCACGCTGGCCAGAGCAAGGACCATGAGGTATCTCAAGAAGTATGAGACATCCTTCTTTAGATTAAATCCATCACTGCGACCTGAAGCACAAACCCAAACTAAATAAGCTCTCCTGGGACATTATATGCAGACATCGGAGTGACTGTACAGAGTTATGCTGGTCCAGAGTCAAAACCAGCTCTGCTTCAGGTGATGGCATGAAGGAAAGGCAGCAGCGTCCTCCATGGAGCTGGTATCAAAACAGTTATCTAACAGTGACATCAAGAACCATGCCAGAAAATATTGCTATATGCAAATATGTAAAGCTCAAGCAGCTAGTCTGCCTTTACCTCAGAAATGACAGTTTGCAGAGGGTAGGCTGAGAGATCACCAGCCAGTCTCTTCTGGGGTCCTAGGTATCTCCATCACAGCAGAGACTGGGCAAATTCATAATATGCACTGATATCTTAATTGGAGCATCAAGTGAACAATTAGATGGGCCTGCTAAGGGCCTTTTAACTCTGCTAATTATTTGCTTTAGAATAGTTCTTCCACTTTGGTGGCAGATGGCACTCCGTGGGCAGCAGGGCCTTCAGGTCCACAGGTCTTAACTTTGTGCCACCCTCCAGGTTGTTGCAACAAGAGCACTTCACCTAGGATCTGTGTTTGGCAGCTCAGCTCCCAGATTCAGAGCACCCAGCTCAACAGGTGTCATTAACCCCTAAAAAAAAATCATCATTTTCCAGTTCCAGGATGTATAGGTTTGTTTTCAGTTGGCAGTGCTTTCTAATGACATCAGATGGTGTCATACACAGAGTAAAGCTCTTCCATTTAGAATACAACCGTGCAGAGCAAAGGTGCAATGAGAACAAAAAAGCAATGAACAGGACAGAAACACAGGGGATGCTAAATCTGCATTACTAGAAATATTCCTGGTAAAACTGAGATAATCTCTGCCTGGGAATTGTCCAGACCTAATGCTGTGTGAGCAAGGGAAAGGATTCAGAAACAAAGAGCATTTCTGCATTTTCTCACTGTGAAAACCTTAGAAGATTTTACTTCATGCAGTTTTTACAGTGGAAATTCTGCATGTTTATCCTACATATAGGTAAGTAAGAATTTTTCTCCAGATGGCCTGAAATCTTCTCAACACTTTGTTTATTCAAGTTTATTAAGAGTAATAAGCTTTTGGGTGAAACCAGGTATGAACTGTTAAAGGTGGAGAAAGAAGATTAATTTCTGACAAAAAAGTCACAACCTACACCAAAGACGATTTCTAGCATTTTCAGAGATTTCCTATACCACTGTCCCTTTAGAAATGCTTATTCTCCAGCCACACTCTACCCTTATAGACTGAAGTCTAGGCTGATTTTCATCTGATTAGATGAGACTATCAGCATGAAAACTGTGGATATTTACTTTATTTTCCTAAATGGGTGACAAGTTCCAACTTCCATCAGACCATTTCCTAATTTTTTTTTCATACCATACACATACATTTTGAAGTTATTTTCCATTCCAACCTGGAAGCAAATAAATCTCAGTGAATGGTATAGCAAAATGTAAGTAACTTGTAAGTAATTGCTGTTCTTTCAGAAAGACAGCCTTTAGAGGCAGGAGAAATCATCCTGTAATCAATCCACTATGGGAAAAAATTCACATGCTTCCTGTACTTTTTTAGTTTCTGTTTCTAGGCATAGACAGATTTCTCCCAATTCAAAAGTTTTATGTTGTATTGTAACTGACTGGAAAGTTCAAAAGCTTCAAACTGCAGTTATTAAAATGTCTTCATGAGTTCTTTGATTAACATAGATCACTCATATTCAAGTTCACCATATGCCCACCTTATAGGCAGGTTCATTTTATAGTGATTGCCCTTTTAAACTATTTCCTGCAGTTTGCCATCATTTTCTACAGAAGGTATCCATTTAAACAGTATGCCACCTCAGTCAATTTAGCTTTCAAATATCCTTTGCCTAACTCCTAGTACAATGTAAAGAAAAACATACCACTTCATAGCATTGTTCATCAACACCAACAGACAATAACAAATCATCTAAGTTTTGTCATTAAGCAGCTGAGAGTCTGAAACAAGAATGTCAGATGTTTTTCACCCACCAGTAAAGACATTCTTTCAAGAAAACTTCTTTTTTTTAATCTGCCAAAGGGCAGACAAACTTAACTATAAATTTCACACTTTTAGTAAATTGTTAGGAAGAGGAAAAATACATTCAGTAAGGTAAGAACACAGATGCACACATACACAGACGAATTTACTTTGAATACACAATCTGGATAAACTCCTCAGTAATATTATTTCTGAAAAGTCCAGCAGCTTTTTCTCTAAAAGACTATGACATTAGATGTTTTATAAACGTACCAAACACAATCATAAAAGTAGATTACTTTTTATGCTTGCCCATCTTACATTATGAGATCTTGCCAAAACCTGATTGCAGTGTCAGTTATGGCCTATCATTTAATTTGTTTCACTTTTTATAAACTTGTTCTTGTACAAGCAATCTCTTTAAACTGAAGGTTTTTGGAAGTTTTTTCTGTTGATTAATCCTCATCTAATATGGTAATGGAAAGACTGAATTTTCTCTTTCCACCATCTTTTTGTGGACTGAGCACACCATGACCATTCAGTCTTAGCTCAGAGAATAGGTATCTTCATATCACCTTTCCATCTTCATTGAACCTTTTCAGTGTCAATTCATTTTCCCACAGATACCATCTGCAAACATCCAAGGTAACTTGTTCTTGCCAGGTCACATATTAGTGGATGGCTGTGACACATCCATCATATAAATAATGGAGCAAGTCCTTAACTACCTGATCTTTCACTCCAAGAATTCCACAGACTGAATATGCCCCAGCTCTCCAAGTTCACAGAACTAATGGCTCTGGCCACACAAGTTTTAGGCTGTTCTCATTTCCAACCTCTTCCATGTGAGTCTTTAGAGTGCAAACAGGACAACCCCTTTGCTTCTCTGGCCATATGCACACACACAAACCTCTTGGAACACCCAATTACCATCAGGATGTGATTGATCCATAATTGATTGCTAAAATCCTGAGAATGGACAGCAGAAAAGTTGTGAATCAGAAGATGACAGAAGAATAACTATATAAATATATAGACATTCTCCACAGCAAGAGAAGTGGAAAAGTTCTTTTGGCTTCTGGAATATGACCTTTTTTTCTTTCTATTTTTTAACCTCGAAGTGTCCTGGCTAATTTTCTACACTTATAGCTGTCCTGGTTGCAGCCAGGACAGAGTAAATCTTTGGCAGTCAGTGGGAGGGGGCATGGCTAGGACATGAAGGTTATTCTGTCCCACCTCACATCATTGCTGGGGTGGGGAAAGGGACTTTCTCCTGGGGAGAAGGGGTTCCTTCTAAGAGAAGAAGTGTAGCAGCTGGAACAGTGGGGTAATGCTGGTTCTTAGCTGGAGGGACTGCTTTGGATGGTGCCAGTCCTGAGTTGAAGGGAGT